TTGTTCACGGATTTCGTGGTGTTACATTTCGCGAGAGATTATCTACGAATTTTGTGGAGTTTATTTCGCGAGGTCACTAATAATATTTAATACTTCTAGATAATATTAGAAGTTTCATAGAGGCAATTAAGAGGCTATTATCAATAATTGTGTATATTATTTCTCCAAAATAGAGAATCATTTAATATACTGCACTAGTGTTCACAGTATAATATTTACTAATTGCCAACCCACAACAGGGTAGGATATGACTAGTTGAACTATTATTGCTCATCCTAGTCCCATTATTACCATAGTCAGTTGTACTATATTGAACAACCTAACACCATTAATGAATGGTCCAGACCCTATTTTGGGTGTAATTTTTATCAACTCGAGTTGAGTTGTATATATAATAAATTACTTATGATCATTACACCTTTGAGTGATTAATTAGTGTCTCTACCATCCTAGGGTGATATAGAAGAGCTAACCTAAAGGTACTTCCAGTGACACTGGTTTATCACTCAAATCATTAGTGTGTATGATTGTATATATATAATGTGTATTAATTTTAAGTGCTAACCTCTAGTAGAGGTAGGATTATTGCCTAGTGAGTGCATTTTACCCTAGGCTACCATTAGAGCTTGTTCAGTATTATGAGCAGCCCAAGTACAAGTCCCACAAGGCTTCACCAACGAGCCAGTATGAATAATGCAGGGAGAATGAAAAGAACCCTTGCAGGTCTTAAAGGCCACTTAACAAGACAGATCAAGAAATGTGAAGATTTGTCACAACAATCTCAAGTTGATTATGCTGACCTGGAAAGCTATTATCAAGCAGCTGCAGGTAAATTTGAGCAAATCAAATGTCAAATAGCAACATATGTGGCTGAACTTGCCAACACCAATTTATCAGAAACAGAAATAGACGACATTATGGTTGATCTTGCGAATTATGAAGATCACACTCAGGCCACGTTACAGCCTTATGTCAAATTAATTGCCCAGAACAAGGCAACAGCAACAACAACAACAGTTGCATCTAATACGAGTCAAGCAGAAGCTCGACTCCCTCCAATTAATTTACCCACTTTCTCAGGAAAAGATGAGGAAGATTGGGACGAATTTTGGAACAAATTCGTTGACCTTGTAGACTCAAAACAATCTTTACCAAAGAGTAGTAAATTCTCTTATTTGCAAGGCCAATTATCAGGTGAGGCTAAAACAGTAGTATCCCATCTGAGATTAACTAATGACGGCTATGATCTGGCAGTACAACTCCTCAAGGATAATTATGCTGATCCAGAAGTAAGAACATCACATTTAGTTCATGAGCTGTTGCATTTACCCCCACCGGAGGCTTCAGCTGATTCACTCCAAGTCTTCAAGCTGGAGGTAGAATCATTGATCAATGCCCTCAGCCTGACAGCAGATACAAACGGGGCTGAGTGGGTCTTGAAAATAATTGTCCAGGAGAAAATACCTAGGGACATATTGAGACAAATGAGTGCTCATTACAATAAAAGTATCTTATCCATGAATGAAATATCTGAAGGTTTAAAGTCAGTAGTTCATCAATTACGAACACATGACAAATTAAAACCACCAAGTAAACCCTCAGAAACCAATAATAGTAAACCACAGAGTACCAAAGGTACTCCAAATCAATCTAGACAATATAACGTAACACCAAAGGGTACTGGAAGCTATGGAACATGTTTGTTCTGCAATGAGAAACATTCAATGTACCACTGCTCTAATTATCCTGATAGTGACGCCCGTGTTGAGCGACTCAAAGATTTGCAACATTGCACGAGGTGCCTCAGGAAACATAACATCAACGACTGTGATACCCAATTACACACCTGTAATAGGTGTAACAAAGGTCAGCACCATGCAGCATTGTGCAGAGACACCAAAACAACGTCTCCAAACCCCAAGGTGGAAGATAGCATTCCCACCACAGTACAGTACTGCAAGGTGCAACAAACAAAGAGTGTCCAATCGGCAAAGTCTAAAGGTAATACGACTTTGCCTACTGCCCAAATTACCATCCTGAATAAGAGGGCCAAGGTCCATACCCGTGGGTTGTTTGACCAAGGATCCCAGAGAACATATATCACTAAAAAGTTGGCAGATGAACTACAATTAAGGCCTGTAGCCCAGATGTCATTCAACATCTCAGGGTTTGTAACAGATGCAGGACCTCAAGTCTACCAGGTGGTACAACCATCAGTACGTTTAGGCAGGTACGTCTGTAGAGTACAAGCCATTGTGGTGGACAAAATACCAGTAGACCTACAAGTTCAAGGTCTGAGAGCAACAGCCAAATTCCTGAGAAATAGAGGAATAAAATTGGCAGATAATATTAAGTCTGATCACCTCACTGACTTCGGTCTCCTTGTTGGGACAGACTATTGCCATCGATTCATCGGTAGCCCTACTAAATATCAGGGTATAACCATGTTAAACTCTGCAGGAGGTAAATTACTCTCAGGCCCAGTATCAAGCCTGAGGAGACCTATGCCTGCAGATAAACAATACCAATAGAAATCTAAATTTGTCAGCTGATTATATTTCTCCAGTAGCATTATACTAAGGAGATTACAGCTGACTATACCAACAGAGGTTGATGTTAGTATCATCATTTAAAGCTGGAGATGAGTTCATGAGGCCTCAGTGGCAAATCAGTGAACAGTAGCCTAAAACAGCTACAAGTCACTGCGACCAATGTCACTGATCCCACTGCAGTCTCAGAACCATACTTTACTTTAATGATGAGCTATTCAATCTTCTGAATCAATTAACTAAATTAAACCCCAATAAATCTGATGACTGATTTGATACATTTATTATTTAATCAAGATGTATTCCATGGGCCTCAGTGTTTATATATCAGTGACCAGTTACCTGAAGAAACTTCAAGTTATATCTAATGTCACTGATCTCACTGCAGTCCCTGAATCATACTTGACTGTAGTACTTGATCACATTCAGTCTTCTGGGTTAAATAATATGTAATAAGGCTTGAATATTAGCCTTTCAAGAGTTGACAGGGAAATGAAATCGCATTAGACTTCTAACCCCTGCAACTCTAGTACGGGACATCCGTCCTGTACGAACAGACACACAAATGTGTGATTACCAACTACTAACATCAAATTAATCTAATAATTCGAAGGAGGAGTATCGGTGTGCGTCTGTTCTAATTTAGGACTTCGACCCGTGAGCAGCCCCCTGGGGAATTATGTCGGAAAATCCGACACCATTTAATAATAATATCATACAGACAGATAAGAGCTGTGTTGTATAAACAAGTTACCCATAGAAAACGTAACTTGTAGTGGAATTACCATCTAAAGAAAACGGGATATCATCACCACATACCATTATAAATTCACCAGCTATTCTGCTGGGAATTATTCTTAAATACATTAGTCTTTGGACTTTACCATCATAAAAACATCTTATATAAATTAACTTAATTATCAATATTAAAGTAGAGTAAATGTGACCCTTCTATCACTTTCTGACATGTGGATAATGTAAGCCAGGCGTCAGGGTGAGGAGGAGGGCAGCCATTGTTGTTATACGAGACCAGAGGCTCACACGGGAGCAAATTCGGCTCCTGTTAATTTTACTTGGACGTAGTGTTATGGATACCAAAGGTGTACCATCTGTCAACACGCTGTCAACAAATCAAGTTAAGTGTCTATCCGAAACCCGTTTATCATTCATTTATGGCCATTAATGTCAGGATATAGGGTGACCCGGTTAGATCGCGAAATCGCCTCAAACTAAAGGTAATTAAGCCAGGTCTTCATGTTCCATGTACTGTATAGTGTTTTCTCTGATATAGCTTGTCATATATAGGATTCTGGCTTCACAGCTAGCGCACTTTTGACAGGTCAAGACGAGGAAGGAAGAGTTTGTGCACCAGTTACTGGGTGATATGGAAGCTACCTCAAAGAGGATAATTTGGTGTCTACACCCTAGTTATACCTGGTGGACTAACCTGCTGTACTATAAGATAAGGAACCTCTTTAATGTATGTAGTCTATTACTGTAGTTTGATTGGCTGCATATATATTAATTTAATAAACCCCCCCTAATGTGTAGAGGATCGATTTGTGAGATTATGAGATTATTGCAGAAATACAGTCCACTTATCATTATACAAATTGCTATCGAAGTATATAAATTAACGTAAATATAAATTCATATAAATTAAATAAATATAAATCTCACAGGTCGGTTCCCACAACAGGATTCCATTGATGTTGTCGAAATATTATAGCATTGCATTTAGCAATGTTGAAGTCTGTTGTCGAAATATCATAGTATTACATTTAGCAGGGTTGAGAATGAAATAATAATGAAATGATATGAATAAATGATATGAATGAAATAATGAAATAAATAATGAATGAGTTCTTGAAATATGTACAGTGCTGTAATGTACAGTGCTGTGCTGTACACTGCTATATTATACAGTGCTGTAATGTACACTGTGCAACACTACAAGTGTTATACAGTGCTGTGCTGTTTAGTGCTAATATGTACAGTGCTGTAATGTAGAGTGATCTACAGTGCTGTAATGTAGTGATCTACAGTGCTGTAATGTAGAGTGATCTACAGTGCTGTAATGTAGAGTGATCTACAGTGCTGTAATGTAGAGTGATCTACAGTGCTGTAATGTAGAGTGATCTACAGTGCTGTAATGTAGAGTGATCTACAGTGCTGTAATGTAGTGATCTACAGTGCTGTAATGTAGAGTGATCTACAGTGCTGTAATGTAGAGTGATCTACAGTGCTGTAATGTAGAGTGATCTACAGTGCTGTAATGTAGAGTGATCTACAGTGCTATACCGAAGAATAACTGCTGAATCAAATGAGTTAAACTTGGCTCAAGTATTTAAAAAGAAATGGTGTCTTGAAGCATAAAGAAAGGAGTAGAGTCTTTCATCTGTTACTTTATCCACTCCCGAACACTTGGGTCAAGTACTGAGGTTTGAGTTGCTATGTTTATTGGTAAACCTTATGTCCTATGTTACAGCCTCGCTATACGTTACACAAACATTTATAAAATTGAAATCCCTTATAATTATGACATTAAAAACCCGCAACATAAATTATAGAACAAAAATAAAAATCTGTTAATGTATGATGACATCTTTTGTGATATCCTTTGTGATGACATCTGATGATATCTTTTGTGCCATCCTATACTACAGTGACAAAACTATGAACTACAGATTATAACTACTGGTGAGGGAATGTGCGGTTGGGGAGAAACAGGTTGATCAATAGTTCGTCGCTAACCGTGTCGCCACGTTCCCGGGTGACGATGGATTATTGTCCAATGCGGTCGTCAGAGAGACCCAGGCCGCAACCCCAGGTCTCCTGAAGGAGGTCGCTCAGTTCAGCGTCACCGAGGGGACACTTGTTGAAGACCTTGGCGCACACGGCAGCGTTGCGGGTCTTCAAGCCAATATCTGTGGCGTAGACGAAGGCGGCGTTGTATGTGGTAATGTTTTCAGTGGTGTTGGCGAACAACTTGGCGAGAAGTTTCTCCTCCGGAGTACGGAAAGTTTCCTCCTTCGTCTGCAGCTGACACAACATCTTGCGTATACACCCGTTTTGATCGAGTTCGCTCACAGTGGACAGCAAAACGTTCTCTTTCTCCTCGGCAGGATCGTCGACGGAACGTTTACCAATGATGCCTCCTCCAAACTTGAACTTTGCGATGGCCTGTTGGTTAAGAGTATAATTAGATAATTAAATGCAGCCGATCTCACATCATAATCTGTGGATCTGCTTAAAGACAAAAGTAAATGATACGACTTGAAAAAAAGGACCTTATTCCAAGAAATAATTATACTTCTTGAGACTAAAGCCTGGTTGGGTGTTGCGATAGAAGACAGGAGCTGTCACTAAGGTATACATACTGAAGTAGATCCAGCAGAAGAACCAAATACACAAGTCATTAAATACTGCATAGTCTCTCTTCCATATCTATTTTATTCAGTGCTAAATCTGATTTCCTTGTGATCACTGTTCCCTAGCTCAGTCCCTATTTCCTTGTGATCACTGTTCCCTAGCTCAGTCCCTATTTCCTTGTGATCTTACAAGTGGCGTGCCTCATCCTTGAGACAAATTATTTTTACTAAATGACATCAGTTATGGGTAGTGTTGTACAGTATAGAAACTAACAGATTACACCAGAGAACAACAAGTTACCATGTAAATTAACATTACACAGTAGAACACATTACACAGTAGAACACATTACACAGTAGAACACATTACACAGTAGAACACATTACACAGTAGAACACATTACACAGTAGAACACATTACACAGTAGAACACATTACCTGAGAAAAGATTACACTAGCGAAAAAAAGATTACATTCTTGGAGGGGATGTGGGTCGTGATCCTACTATAAGTATTATCCTTTTAGGAGGATGAGTTGCTTTTATAGTACATCATATTTTGTCTGTTGAGGACCTTTACGTCAAAATGCAACGCATTATTTGAGAAGACAAATTGGAAGGTAAATGAGAAGTAGAGAGTCCGAGTTCAACCTGTCCTCTTAAAAAGAACGTCGCTTTTGGCCGTTTGTCCGTATGGCCGAATTTGGACGTAATTTGAAAATGGAAAAAAATGAAAATAAATTTGGTTTTTTTTTTCAACAACAGTAAGTTAAGGGTCCTCTGATAGGTTAGGTGGGCAGGAAATTCTCATAAAGTTTCAAAACGTTATGAAAAACGTGAATTGAAAGTCATCTATTCTAACCTTACCGAGTAAGACAGATGACTCAAACAGAAAACGGGACAGTGCGTCCCTTTTGTGAGTCGATTTCATTTCAAATTACGTCCAAATTTGGCCATAGTGAGCATACGAGCCAAAAGTGACGTTATTTTTAAGAGGACGGGTTGCCGAGTTACCCACCTTGAGAGCAGCGAGGCCCAGGACACCACCGACAATGGGGGCTCCTGCCAGTAGCCCCAGACCCATAAATGGGTCACTCCTGACGGAGCTCCAGCAGGAGAGGAACAGCATCACAGCTACCACGCTCACACGCATCTGAAATGAGCCACAGAGATATTAGAAAGAACTTTTTTAGTGTCAGAGTGGTTAACAAATGGAATGCATTAGGCAGTGATGTGGTGGAGGCTGACTCCATACACAGTTTCAAGTGTAGATATGATAGAGCCCAGTAGGCTCAGGAACCTGTACACCTGTTGATTGACGGTTGAGAGGCGGGACCAAAGAGCCAGAGCTCAACCCCCGCAAGCACAACTAGGTGAACACAGAGTCGTCAGGGAATCATTATTTAGCCATAGTTTTCTCTTTCCAATAATCTACTATTTACAGCCTCGTTATTCATACAAACTATTATTTACAGCCTCTTAGTTCTAAAAACACAACATTTACAGCCTCTTAGTTCTAAAAACACAACATTTACAGCCTCTTGGTTCTCAACACCAATATTTACAGCTTTTAAAACGAAACGTTGAGAACCTCCAGTTTCTCAGAAACCAACATTTACAGTCTTATGTTATTAAAACCAAACGTTTAAAAGATTCATTGCTTCCAAAAACTAAAATTTACGATCTTGTGATTTACAAATGCCAAAATTTACAGTCATGTAGTTACAAAAAAAGAAAAACAATTTCACGCTCATGAATATGAAAAACTCACATTTTCACACTTTTCTGATTCGAAAATTATAATTCAAAAACCTTTTTTGCCGTTAACACGAACTTTTAAACTTCAATTTCGCGAAACATAACATTTCAAAATTTTCACGTTCACGAAAACACACATTGACACAACTATGACAACATGAGCGACATATTACACCAATAGTTTCACACAAGCAACTTTTGTTATCATTAACTTTCAGACAAGTTTCCAAGCTTTCAACTTATGGAGCGAATAACTGTCTGCCTACTCCACCACAGCTAACACTGACAGTCTAACTCCATCACAGCTAACACTGACAGCAAACTCCACCACAGCTAACACTGTCAACCTAACTCCACCACAGCTAACACTGTCAACCTAACTCCACCACAGCTAACACTGACAGCAAAGTCCACCACAGCTAACACTGACAGCAAACTCCACCACAGCTAACACTGACAGCCTAACTCCACCACAGCTAACACTGACAGCAAACTCCACCACAGCTAACACTGACAGCAAACTCCACCACAGCTAACACTGACAGCCTAACTCCATCACAGCTAACACTGACAGCAAACTCCACCACAGCTAACACTGACAGTCTAACTCCATCACAGCTAACACTGACAGCAAACTCCACCACAGCTAACACTGAGAGTCTAACTCCACCACAGCTAACACTGACAGTCTAACTCCACCACAGCTAACACTGTCAACCTAACTCCACCACAGCTAACACTGACAGCAAACTCCACCACAGCTAACACTGACAGCAAACTCCACCACAGCTAACACTGACAGCCTAACTCTACCACAGCTAACACTGACAGCCTAACTCCACCACAGCTAACACTGACAGCAAACTCCACCACAGCTAACACTGACAGCAAACTCCACCACAGCTAACACTGACAGCCTAACTCCATCACAGCTAACACTGACAGCAAACTCCATCACAGCTAACACTGTCAACCTAACTCCACCACAGCTAACACTGACAGCCTACTCCACTACAGCTAACACTGTCAACCTAACTCCACCACAGCTAACACTGTCAACCTAACTCCACCACAGCTAACACTGACAGCCTACTCCACTACAGCTAACACTGTCAACCTAACTCCACCACAGCTAACACTGTCAACCTAACTCCACCACAGCTAACACTGACAGCCTAGCTCCACTACAGCTAGCACTGTCAACCTAACTCCACCACAGCTAACACTGTCAACCTAACTCCACCACAGCTAACACTGACAGCCTACTCCACTACAGCTAACACTGTCAACCTAACTCCACCACAGCTAACACTGTCAACCTAACTCCACCACAGCTAACACTGACAGCAAACTCCACCACAGCTAACACTGACAGCAAACTCCACCACAGCTAACACTGACAGCCTAACTCCACCACAGCTAACACTGCCAACCTAACTCCACCACAGCTAACACTGACAGCAAACTCCACCACAGCTAACACTGACAGCCTAACTCCATCACAGCTAACACTGCCAACCTAACTCCACCACAGCTAACACTAACAGCCTAGCTCCACTACAGCTAACACTGACAGCCTAACTCCACCACAGCTAACACTGCCAACCTAACTCCACCACAGCTAACACTGCCAACCTAACTCCACCACAGCTAACACTGACAGCAAACTCCACCACAGCTAACACTGACAGCAAACTCCACCACAGCTAACACTGACAGCCTAGCTCCACCACAGCTAACACTGTCGACCTAACTCCACCACAGCTAACACTGTCAGGTTCACCAGGGTTCAAAAGCTTATGTATTCGTCAAACCTAAATAAATCAAACCTAAATAAAGCTACAAAATAGTATAGAGAGATGCATGATTGTATCAAAATAGAACTATCCACGATTAGACCTACTGCAGTCTTTTAGACTTCGCCTGCTCCGTCTTCTAGGTTGCGCCTTAAGCGCTCCCATACCGAGAGAGAGCACGAAAACTCACCTTGTCTACGTTGAATGGAAGTCCTGCCGTAACTGTCCTGGAAGGCGTCCGTCCGCGTATTTATGCGCTGTTTTCCAATGTCATCCGGAGGTCAGTGTGCGCCCGCGAACATCTTTTCGTGGAAGGACAGGAAGCCCAGGATCAGACCGGTGGTGGACCGCCTTGTCCGCCCCTCGACCTTCACGCAACACTTTCTCCTGCTGGCGGAAACTGCTGGAATTTGATGCTACTGGAGTATTACAAGGCAGAGGCAAACATTTCACTGTATACGCGGATTTTCTCAACCATTTGGGTTGTGTTGCATTTACTCAATTCATTCTGCAGTAGTATGTCTGTACTCGTCTAGTTGAACTGGCCTAGTTGTGTTTGCGGGGGTTGAGCTTTGGCTCTTTGGTCCCGCCTCTCAACTGTCAATCAACTGGTGTACAGGTTCCTGAGCCTATTGGGCTCTGTCATATCTACGTCTGAAACTGTGTATGGAGTCAGCCTCCACCACATTACTGACTAATGCATTCCATTTGTTAACTACTCTGTGTCTGCAGCAGTATGTCTGTGTCTGCAGTAGTATGTCTGTGTCTGCAGTAGTATGTCTGTGTCTGCAGTAGTATGTCTGTGTCTGCAGTAGTATACCTGTGTCTGCAGGAGTATGTCTGTGTCTGCAGCAGTACGTCTGTGTCTGCAGGAGTATACCTGTGTCTGCAGTAGTATGTCTGTGTCTGCAGTAGTATGTCTGTGTCTGCAGTAGTATGTCTGCGTCTGCAGTAGTATGTCTGTGTCTGCAGTAGTATGTCTGTGTCTGCAGTAGTATGTCTGTGTCTGCAGTAGTATGTCTGTGTCTGCAGTAGTATGTCTGTGTCTGCAGTAGTATGTCTGTGTCTGCAGCAGTATGTCTGTGTCTGCAGTAGTATACCTGTGTCTGCAGTAGTATGTCTGTGTCTGCAGTAGTATGTCTGTGTCTGCAGTAGTATGTCTGTGTTAGCAGTAGTATGTCTGTGTCTGCAGTAGTATGTCTGCGTCTGCAGTAGTATGTCTGTGTCTGCAGTAGTATGTCTGTGTCTGCAGTAGTATGTCTGTGTCTGCAGTAGTATGTCTGTGTCTGCAGTAGTATGTCTGTGTCTGCAGTAGTATGTCTGTGTCTGCAGTAGTATGTCTGTGTCTGCAGTAGTATGTCTGTGTCTGCAGTAGTATGTCTGTGTCTGCAGCAGTATGTCTGTGTCTGCAGTAGTATACCTGTGTCTGCAGTAGTATGTCTGTGTCTGCAGTAGTATGTCTGTGTCTGCAGTAGTATGTCTGTGTCTGCAGTAGTATGTCTGTGTCTGCAGTAGTATGTCTGCGTCTGCAGTAGTATGTCTGTGTCTGCAGTAGTATGTCTGTGTCTGCAGTAGTATGTCTGTGTCTGCAGTAGTATGTCTGTGTCTGCAGTAGTATGTCTGTGTCTGCAGTAGTATGCCTGTGTCTGCAGCAGTATGTCTGTGTCTGCAGTAGTATACCTGTGTCTGCAGTAGTATGTCTGTGTCTGCAGTAGTATGCCTGTGTCTGCAGCAGTATGTCTGTGTCTGCAGTAGTATACCTGTGTCTGCAGTAGTATGTCTGTGTCTGCAGTAGTATGTCTGTGTCTGCAGTAGTATGTCTGTGTCTGCAGTAGTATGTCTGTGTCTGCAGTAGTATGTCTGTGTCTGCAGTAGTATGCCTGTGTCTGCAGCAGTATGTCTGTGTCTGCAGTAGTATACCTGTGTCTGCAGTAGTATGTCTGTGTCTGCAGTAGTATGTCTGTGTCTGCAGTAGTATGTCTGTGTCTGCAGTAGTATGTCTGTGTCTGCAGTAGTATGTCTGTGTCTGCAGTAGTATGTCTGTGTCTGCAGTAGTATGTCTGTGTCTGCAGTAGTATGTCTGTGTCTGCAGTAGTATGTCTGTGTCTGCAGTAGTATGTCTGTGTCTGCAGTAGTATGTCTGTGTCTGCAGGAGTATGTCTGTGTCTGCAGTAGTATGTCTGTGTCTGCAGGAGTATGTCTGTGTCTGCAGCAGTATGACTGTGTCTGCAGGAGTATGCCTGTGTCTGCAGCAGTATGTCTGTGTCTGCAGGAGTATACCTGTGTCTGCAGTAGTATGTCTGTGTCTGCAGGAGTATACCTGTGTCTGCAGGAGTATGCCTGTGTCTGCAGGAGTATGTCTGTGTCTGCAGCAGTATGTCTGTGTCTGCAGGAGTATACCTGTGTCTGCAGGAGTATGCCTGTGTCTGCAGGAGTATGTCTGTGTCTGCAGGAGTATGCATGTGTCTGCAGTAGTATGTCTGCGTCTGCAGGAGTATGTCTGTGTCTGCAGGAGTATGCCTGTGTCTGCAGTAATATGTCTGTGTCTGCAGCAGTATGTCTGTGTCTGCAGGAGTATGCCTGTGTCTGCAGGAGTATGCCTGTGTCTGCAGTAGTATGTCTGTGTCTGCAGCAGTATGTCTGTGTCTGCAGTAGTATGCCTGTGTCTGCAGGAGTATGCCTGTGTCTGCAGTAGTATGTCTGCGTCTGTAGTAGTATGTCTGTGTCTGCAGTAGTATGTCTGCGTCTGTAGTAGTATGTCTGCGTCTGTAGTAGTATGTCTGCGTCTGTAGTAGTATGTCTGTGTCTGTAGTAGTATGTCTGTGTCTGCGGTAGTATGTCTGCGTCTGCAGTAGTATGTCTGTGTCTGCAGTAGTATGTCTGCGTCTGCAGTAGTATGTCTGCGTCTGCAGTAGTATGTCTGCGTCTGCAGTAGTATGTCTGCGTCTGTAGTAGTATGTCTGTGTCTGCAGTAGTATGTCTGCGTCTGCAGTAGTATGTCTGCGTCTGCAGTAGTATGTCTGCGTCTGCAGTAGTATGTCTGCGTCTGCAGTAGTATGTCTGCGTCTGTAGTAGTATGTCTGCGTCTGCAGTAGTATGTCTGCGTCTGCAGTAGTATGTCTGTGTCTGTAGTAGTATGTCTGTGTCTGCGGTAGTATGTCTGCGTCTGCAGTAGTATGTCTGTGTCTGCAGTAGTATGCCTGTGTCTGCAGTAGTATGTCGGTGTCTGCAGTAGTATGTCTGCGTCTGTAGTAGTATGTCTGCGTCTGCAGTAGTATGTCTGCGTCTGCAGTAGTATGTCTGTGTCTGTAGTAGTATGTCTGTGTCTGCGGTAGTATGTCTGCGTCTACAGTAGTATGTCTGTGTCTGCAGTAGTATGCCTGTGTCTGCAGTAGTATGTCTGCGTCTGCAGTAGTATGTCTGCGTCTGCAGTAGTATGTCTGCGTCTGCAGTAGTATGTCTGTGTCTGCAGTAGTATGTCTGCGTCTGTAGTAGTATGTCTGCGTCTGCAGTAGTATGTCTGTGTCTGCAGTAGTATGTCTGTGTCTGTAGTAGTATGTCTGTGTCTGCGGTAGTATGCCTGTATTCACTTAACTGTACTCACCAAGAAGTGAGAAGTGAGTGAGCGAGTGCTAAGAAGATAGATCACAAAATACATGGAATCACAGCATTTCCATAACCCCGGACAACATGGTTTCAGAACAGGGCGCTCTTGCCTGTCGCAGTTGCTGGACCACTATGATATGGCATTAGATGCTATAGAAGACAAGCAAAACGCTGATGTAATTTACACAGATTTCGCAAAAGCTTTTGATAAATGTGACTATGGTGTTATTCCACATAAAATGCGTTCAAAAGGAATTACCGGAAAAATAGGCAGATGTATCTACAATTTCCTGACCAACAGAATCTAATGTGTAATAGTCAATAAAATAAAATCCAGCCCATCAACCGTGAAGAGCTCAGTCCCCCAGGGTACTGTGCTTGCTCCAGTACAGTCCCCCAGGGTACTGTGCTTGTTCCAGTACAGTCCCCCAGGGTACTGTGCTTGCTCCAGTACAGTCCCCCAGGGTACTGTGCTTGCTCCAGTACAGTCCCCCAGGGTACTATGCTTGTTCCAGTACAGTCCCCCAGGGTACTGTGCTTGCTCCAGTACAGTCCCCCAGGGTACTATGCTTGCTCCAGTACAGTCCCCCAGGGTACTGTGCTTGCTCCAGTACAGTCCCCCAGGGTACTGTGCTTGCTCCAGAACTTTTTCTCATCCTCATATCGGACATAGACAAGAACACAACCTATAGCACTGTATCATCCTTTGCAGATGACACTAGGATCTTCATGAGAGAAGGCAACATAGAGGACACGGCAAACTTCCAGTCAGATGTAGATCAGGTCTTTCTATGGGCTACAGAAAATAATATGGTGTTTAACGAAAATAAGTTCCAGCTCATGCGCTATGGAAAAAATGAAAATATAAAAACGGAAACCACGTACAAAACTCAGGCAAATCATAACATAGAACGAAAAGGCAATGTAAAGGATCTGGGTGTACTCATGTGGGAAGACCTTACCTTTAAAGAACACAATAAAGTAGCCGTCACAACTGCAAGAAAAATGACAGGTTGGATAACAAGAACGTTTCACACTAGAGATGCTATACCGATGATTACACTTTTCAAAACGCTTGTGCTCTCTAGAGTGGAGTACTGCTGCACAATGACAGCCCCTTTCAAAGCTGGAGAAATTGCTGACCTGGAGAGCGTGCAGAGATCCTTTACTGCTAGAATCCACTCAGTAAAACATCTAAACTATTGGGACCGACTAAAGAGCCTAAATCTGTACTTCCTTGAACGCAGGCGGGAGAGATGTATAATAATTTACACGTGGAAAATATTAGAGGGGCTGGTCCCAAACCTGCACACAGAAATAACATCACATGAGACCAGAAGACATGGCAGGATGTGCAGAATACCCCCGTTGAAAAGCAGAGGTGCAACAGGTACTCTGAGAGAGAACTATCAACATCAGAGGTCCGAGACTGTTCAACACGCTTCCACTACACATAAGGGACATAACTGGCCGACCCCTCACAGTGTTCAAGAGAGAACTATCAACATCAGAGGCCCGAGACTGTTCAACACGCTTCCACTACACATAAGGGACATAACTGGCCGACCCCTCACAGTGTTCAAGAGAGAACTATCAACATCAGAGGCCCGAGACTGTTCAACTCGCTTCTACTACACATAAGGGACATAACTGGCCGACCCCTCACAGTGTTCAAGAGAGAACTATCAACATCAGAGGCCCGAGACTGTTCAACACGCTTCCACTACACATAAGGGACATAACTGGCCGACCCCTCACAGTGTTCAAGAGAGAACTATCAACATCAGAGGCCCG